CATCTCCAGCCCCAGAAGTAGGATGTTAAGGAGGTAGAAGCCATTTGTACTGGAGACACCTAGTCAGACCTGGACTGGAATTTCTCCAGTCTCAAGTGGGATCAAAGCTGCGTAATGGGATTCTGGGCCCCTTTGTCAGGGTAATTTGAGGCCATGGGAGCCTTTCAGATGTGGTACCTGGCAGCCATGAGGACATGGTGGCTTCTGTGGGAAGATGGGGAGCAGAGGTTCTGCCTCATACCCAGACCTAGTCCCTGCGGGGCCGATGGCGGGCAGTGAAGAGACAACTGCAATTAAGGCTGTGCGGCGCTGTTGGCAGGAGAGCCTGGTGCCCACTCTGTGGCTACTTCCTTTGCTGATTTAATCAGGAGCTGAGCAGGGAGGAGGAGCAGCGACTGCAGGCAGAGGTGGCAGACCACAGATGAGCCCAGGCTACAGGCCTGGCGCCAGAATGTTCCCTACCCAGGGTAGATAAGGTTTAGGATCCTTATTCTGTTATCTCTTTACTGTCTGTGGGTGTCCAAATGGCCCTGTGGGTGTCACAGAAGGGGCAACTGAGCAATTGGCAGGTTGGGGCAGCCCTGGTGACTGGGCATGGATGGCCTGGAGAAATTTGTGTCTCTGGAAGGATCGTCCTGCTTTGTTCCCAACAGGCTCAGGGTGGCCCAGAGGCATGTCAAGAGGCCCAGTCCCAGCAATTGGGCTCCCAGCTACCCTCAAATCCTACACCTAACCTGCTAGACACCTCTCCACGCCGGCCCCCTGGGCTGGCCACGTCCCCCACGAGCACTTCCCTTAGCAGTCCAGGTAAAGGGTGTCCTGGGGGGCTGGTTTGAGGGGAGTGACTCTCATCATGCCACCCCCTTCTCACTGTGGCCTCTGTTCCCAGGGCAGCGGGATGATCTCATTGCCAGCATCCTCTCAGGTAGGGTCAGGGTCTGCTAGTGGGTGAGCGGAGGCTGGTACCTAGAGGGCAGCTGTCCCAGCCCAGCCCACCCACCTCACCACTTGCCTTTGCTTCGGCTCACAGAGGTGGCTCCCATGCCACTGGATGAGCTGCGAGGCCACAAGGCTTTGTTGAAGCTCCGGAGCCGGCAAGACCGAGAATTGAGGGAGCTGTGTAAGAAGCATCAGCGGAAGGCTATCGCCCTGACCCGCCGCCTGCTCCAGGGTCTGACCCAGCATGCGCCTGGGGTCCTGTGAGTGTTCTATGGCCACTGACAGGAATGTCAGAGGCTATGTGCCGCATGGGTTCCAGTGTGCACAGCGGACCTGCAGACAGGGCCAGAGGCTGCTCCAGAGGAATGTTTGGTGTAGGGAAGGTGTCCCAAACTGCCCACTCTTTGTTTTAGAAGTGACACTTCTTTTGAAGTTGTCCACAAACATTTGTCAAAACAGAATCCCATGATCTGCTTGGAGCTAACAGTGAAGGGCCTTGTGGTTTGCATAACAGATCTCACCTGCAGGGTAGTACCCTGGCCTCTCTACTTTCCCACCCAAGGGTAGCATCACCCAGAAGGTTCTCTCCACAGGGGCAGGGCCGCTGACTCAGAAGAAACAGAGGAGGAGGAGGTGAAGCGGTACCGAGAGTTCCAGAACAGGCAGGTGCAGAGCCTGCTAGAGCTAAGAGAGGCCCAGGCAGATGTGGAGGCTGAGCGGAGACTGGAATACCTGAGACAGGTAAAAAGCATGGTGAAGGGGCCAGGAGATGGCTCAGTGGAGTAAGCACTTCCCTGGCAAGTGCAAGGGTCTGAGTTCAATCCCCGGTTCCGCCAAAAAAAAAGCATGGGACCAGAGATAGTACCATGAGGTAGCATCAGCCCTCTGGTACCCACTGGTTGCATGTGTCCCCAGACTCAGCAGCGGCTCAGAGAGGTTGTCCTGGAAGCACACACAACTCAGTTCAAGAAGCTGAAGGAGATGAATGACAGGTGAAGGCTTAGGATCTTCTCTGGGTGGGGCAGGGACTTCTGGTATATGAAGAACAGGGCCCCCAGTCCTGCCTCTGATGCTTGTTCTTCTCCTCACCTTTCCAGAGAAAAGAAGGAGCTGCAGAAGATCCTGGACAGGAAACGCCACAACAGTATCTCAGAAGCCAAGACAAGAGAGAAACATAAGAAGGAGGCGTAAGGGGGTTGGGGCTGGGAGCTGTTTGGATGTTGGGGAGGCAGGACAGTGCCTGTGCACTGAGCCCACCTTGCCTTTCTCCTGTGCAGGGAACTGACTGAGATTAACCGGCGGCACATCACTGAGTCAGTCAACGCCATCCGCCGGGTGAGTAAGGTTCCTGGGACACAGTAGCCCACCCTTTCTTTCATTCATCAGAAACCTGCCTTCTTGCTGTCTGGTCTGGAGCCATATTGTCCCCAAAAGGCTTCTAGAGTCTTTTCCCTGGAGCTTTCTGTCCCAGTACCCCATGGATTTGCCTTCTCATGGTTTTTGTGTCCAGCAAGAGCCCCAGGGCCCTGGACCCCTCACCTGAACCCTTGCCTGCCCTCACAGCTGGAGGAGGCCCAGAAGCAGCGGCATGACCGCCTCATGGCTGCGCAGCAGCAGGTCCTACAGCAGCTGGCAGAAGAGGAGCCCAAAGTGAGACTATGGAGGAGGGCAGGCAGTTTGGTGTATGCGGAGTGGCCTGGCCTCCCTGGGACACCCATCCTCTTCTCACAGCTGCTGGCCCAGCTGACTCAGGAGTGTCAGGAGCAGCGAGCGAGGCTGCCCCAGGAGATCCGTCGGAGCCTGCTAGGCGAGATGCCGGAGGGACAGGAGGACGGGCCCCTGGTGGCCTGTGCCAGCAATGGTCATGCAGCCGGGAGCAGTGGGCACATGTCTGGTGCTGACTCGGAGAGCCAGGAGGAGAACACGCAGCTTTGAACTGGCTGAGCAAGAGGTGGCCACAGAGCCAGGGTGGGCACTGGGCAGAGGGCAGCAGAAGACACTAACGCTTTTTTTTTTTTACTTTTGACCTTTAGAAATTTTATTTTTTTAAACCTGGGGCAATGTCCCACTAACTCCCTTCATCCACCTGGGGCCTCCTTACCTCCTTCCTAACCTCAGTCCTAGGGAAGGGGCTGGGCCAGGCCTTGCCCCTCATGATGCCCACACCCCAGAATGCCCTTGTTTCCCTCATTTCCCAGGGAGCACTGGGTGGAGATTTGGAGCTCTGGAAATTCTGGGTCACATTCTCTGGTCTTTTGTTTTTACATGAATAAAAGTGGATTTCAGGGACCCTGTGTGCAGTGTGATTTGGAGAGGACTCTGCCATTTCCTCAGGGGCCTCAGTTTCCCCATGTATAAAATTGGCTGTGAGCTTTGAACTTGACCACTTTGTCCAAGGCCTGCAGTGACCTCCCCACTGCCACAGGAGGCTCTGGCCAACCCTGGGCCTTTCTACTGCTCTGCCCTCTACCTCTAGTTTGATGTCCTGTTTTCCCCTCCCCATGTTTTCCTCCCTCCCAGGCTCTCCCTGTCCCCTCTTCACAGAGGCACAGGCTGCTTCAGGAAGCCTTCCCTGCCCCCCTTCCTGTTGCCTGATATGACCCAAGCACCCAGCATCTTCCGCTGGGCCTGCTTTGGGCCCTACACAAGCAATTAACAGCTGACTATTGGGGGCGGACAGCTGGGTGGAGCTAGGTGGGAAAGAGGGCTCCCTGTGACTCCTGGGAGAAAGAAGGCACGAGTTCCTGACCTGGCAGGACTGGGATACCCTCCATCCCCCTCGTTCCTGTGAGGGAGATGTTCTGCCTCTTTTACAGATGAAGAAACTGAGATCTTGAGTGGAAGTCATGAGTGCTGGGCAACTACTAACTGGAGATATCCTGACGCCGAGGCAGGGCAGCCTGGACCCTCTGTGATCCACTGTCTTCGGCCAGCCTAGAGAACCTACTCCATGCTCCTGACCAGTGTGGAGCTGCAGAGACCCCTCAGAGAGGGTGTGGCTGCTCTGCAGTAGGGTCAGCCTGGCACCTCTTCAAGGCCTCTCCCTGCTTCCTGGCTCTTCCCAGGCTGGCGGCTCCCTCCTCCAGAGGAAGGCTGCCTCTTATCTGCACTTATCTCCTGCCAATGGAGTGTTTTGCTTTGCTTTTGCTGCAGCCTCAGGCAAAGAGATGGGGTGAAGAGGCCACAGCGGCCCTTTCCAGGCTGAGACCTCTGCCCTGGGCCTTTCTCTGGCTGTGAGGCCTCTGGTCCTTTCCCCAAATCTGCTGGCTTAGTTCCCCAGCAGCCACTCATTTCCCTCACTGGCTGACCTCCATTTATCCAAACATTCCAAGTTGGTCCTGGGTCTTCAAAACCTAGCATAACTCCAAACTCAGCTGTGCCCTGTGAACCCCTCCTGAATCCTAAGCCTTGTTGCTCTGCTGTCCTTCCCTGGGTTCATTCTTGACTCTTTAGGCGTCACAGTCCAGCTTCCCCCACCCCTTTCTGGTCAGGTAAGGGTGGAGCTCGCAAGTGGGGGTGGGGTGGTGGTGCTGCTATCTGTAGAACAAGCACTAAAGCCCTGGCCGGGGCTATGCAGGCACCAATAAATCTTTTGGAACCATGCTCGTGCTTGAGTCCTGCTCCAGAGCCCCATGGAAAGCCTCTGTTCCCTAGAGATCGCGCCGCCCCCGCCCTGAGTGTCCTGCCAGGTCCCTGTGCAGCGCTGGCTCCAGGCCGGCCACACAGTAGCTGTTTGCAAGTCGAAAGGGCTGACCCAGATCGGAACAAATGACCACCCCCCCAACACCCCAGGGAGTCCTTTGCACAATGAAGAATTTCAGTAGAAGACCTCTAAGGCTCCCAATTATCATCTTAAGGGATAAGTCTTGGGCCCCAGTCACACCCCACCCTAAGCCAGCAACCCAGACTCCCACTTGCCGCCTCAACCCTAGTCTTTGTCTCTAGATGTCACCCCAAAGAGATTCAACTTTCCCTCATAGGTAAAATGGGGATATTTTGAAGATAACTATAAAAGCGCTACACTGGTCGATGGGAAGCCCCCAAGTGACGGACAAAAGATATAGCGGCACAAGCCGGGCTTTATTAACACACATGCGGCGGGCACAGGCGTGCAACATTGCCGCAGAAAAGGAGCTGGCAGCGGAACGGTTAATCTCAGCGTGCTTCTTGGCGCAGGCGCCCTGGGCACCAAGCGCTAGTGGCTGGGCGACTTCCGGCAGCAGCGGCGGCTGGAACCGTCAAGACTTCTGGGCTCTCAGACCGCCTCCCTACGAAAGGGATAGAACAGATCCTCTTGTGCAAGGCCTGCAGAAGACTTCCGCCCACACCCAAGAAGGCCGTCCACTGAGGCGGAGTGGGTGGGGTTCCAGTGATGTGGGGCGGAAGTTCACTGGGAGGGGGGGGAGCCTGCTCTCCCCAAGTTCCGATCCCACCAGGACTGGATGGCGCGTGTCCAGGTGGAGCTCTGCCACAGCTTTGTCGCTGTGCCCGCGCTCTTCGGGCGAGGAAGACCCTTCGGGGGTGACAAGAGGGAAGGTTTAAGTGTGTTAGCTCATCCTGGCTTGAATCAAGGCCCTTCATTACCAGAATCCTAGCTCCAAGTCAGACCCTCGGGGAGATGAAGACCAGTTTCCAGCATGCCCTGTAATAAATGACCCAAGAAATACGACCGGACGCTTAGGCCCTTTAGAAACAGGGTCCAGGGTAAGCCAAACAACGTTGTGTTGGGGGCTGGAAGAGAGGACACCTAAGAACTAACGTAGAAACGCCAAAGATCTAACACCTAGAAAATGGAATCATAACTCTAACTAAAGTTACTTTGAAATTGGGACTGAAGAACCCAGACATCAGAAAGGGGGCAGCAGACATGCTATAAAGATCTGGCAAGCCAGGACTTTTGCCCCGGAGCACACTTAGATTATAAATCCTGGTTAAACTGCTAGAACTCTGAAAGCAGAGGCCAGTGGGAAGGAAGGCCTGGCATATCCTGGACTTCAAAGGGTTAGGGCTGTGCAGGGAGAGGGCCGAGACTACAGGTCCCAGCATGCCTTGGTACTCGGACGGGGGTGGGGGCAGGGTGGGAGCAGGTCTATATGGGAAGCAACCCTGGACTACAAGTCCCACTGTGCCCCGGGACCCGGAAGGAGCTGTCTGTGTTGGCAAGGCAACCTAAGACAAGAAAGAAGGGTGGGGGCGATATAGGCCCTCAGAGCTTGAGACTATAGGTCCTGGCACATGGCACCCTGTTGCTCACCTTGAACGAATCCACGAATTCGTCGCTCATCCTCCGGAGCTCTCGGCCATAGCGCTGAGCAGCCCAGAGGTTGGGAGGCGCTGAGCGTGAGCGGCCCCGGAATGGGCTGGGCTCCTCTTCCAAACCTTCCTCCTCCTCCATACCTGCTGGATACGAGCTGTGGCGACTCCGGGTCTCCGTAGCCCCAGCGTCTGCAGAAAGGGTCAGGGGTGACAGGAATCGTAACTCCTCTGCGCCCCCAGAACTGCTGAAACCTTTCCTTAGGTAATTAACTGTCTCTCTAATGTCTGTGCACAGCCTAATATCTGTACACTGGCACCTTTAACAACCTAGTTCCGATCCGCATAAATGAAGGAAAGGGGCTTCTCTTTTTTTCGTGGTCACGGGATTGAACACAGGACCTTGGGTTTGCCGGGCAGGCGCTTTTGCCGCTCGGCTATCTCCCCAGTCCAGGGAAGGGGCTTTTGTGAGGAGTTAAATTCTCATAAATCCCACAAATCTCTATGAGTGCCAATAATAGACGAGAAAGACCTATAAAATGGTGCTTCACTGTGCAGGGCACAAAATAGGTTTGGTGTACCATGGTCTGTGGGGGATGTGAATCTTCCCCTTGACCAAGCAGCTCTAGTTTCATCTTTTGTATGAAAGGACACTCCCAGCCTTTGGTGCCAGGATCATGTAAAGGTCACATCAAATAGAGTACAGCAGATGTGCTCCTGCGGCCATATTCAGGAGTACCTCTGCTGTGATCTGTTCATCTCAGCTGTGAGACATTCCTAACTTTGCCAGCTGCACCCCTCTGCCCAGACCAACAAGGACCTAGAACCACTGTCTTTAGGGGAGGTAAGATTTAGGCCAGCTTTCAATAACAAAACAGTGTCCTCAAAGGAACAAAGGTAGAGCTGCAGTATCTCCCAAGGTCTCAGCTCTATAAAGGCCTGGCTTACCACAGTGTGGGCAGTGTCTCCCCTCAGTGAGGACCCTGCAAGCCCTCCAGGCACTTTTGGCTTCAGCTATGGGGACCCAACCTCGTCCACCTTCCCACTCTGACCTCAGGCCACTTCTCCCAAGCCCTTGACACTGCCTCAGTGTCTTTCTCTGTAAATTGGGCAGTCTCTTGTTTACTACAGTTACATTAGGCAGGACTATTATAGGCAGTCAGACAGGACTAGGTCCTCAAGGGAGTCAGTGCAAAAGATAACACAAAAACTGTGGCTGGAGGCACATCTGATTAAAGTCACTGATGGTCAGGTTTACATTCTTCCCTAAGGCATAAAAGGAAGCTCAAGATAATAGGTACCATCCTCTAGTCATTTCCTATAGAAATAAACCATTATCTCATTAGGGGTGGGCCATCCACTCCTAAGAGACTACTAAAAGACTAAAGACTAGATTATCAAGGTTAATGATATCCATATACAGCTGCTAGGTGATCTACCTCAATGGATCATTATTACCTAAATGGCTATACTTATAACCTTATTGGTTGATCATAGTTTTTGTTTTGTTTTGTTTTTTGGGGGGACCAGAAATCAAACTCTGGACCTTGCGCTTTTCAGGCAGGTGCTGTGCTGCTTAGCTGTATCCTAGGTGGCCCAATTTTTCTTTTCTTTTTTTTTTTTTTTTTTGAGACAGGGTCTCCCTATAGTTCATTCCAGCCACGGTGACCTTGAACTTGTGGTGATACTCCTGCCTCAGCCTCCTTGTGCTGGAATTACAGGTGTGTGCCCCACACTTCGCTGATCATAGTTTGACTCATGTTATAACCACCTTATGATTTTGCTGTATAAAACTTTTTTTGAGGGGCTGGTGAGATGGCTCAGTGGTCTAAAGCACCTACTTAGAACAAACTTAGCAAAGCACAGGGACCGCAGTTCAATCCCCCAGCACCACATGCCAGCCAGCCCCGCCCCCTGGTGGGCTGAGCTGGCCACACACACACACACACACACACACACACACACACACACAAAATTAAAAAAAAAAAAACATTAAAAGATGAGGGGACAGGGAGATGGCTCAGTGGAGTAAGCGCTTCCATGGCAAGGGCAAGGGCCTGAGTTCAATCCCCGGTTCTGCAAAAAAAAAAACAAAAAACCACTTTTTTTGAGAGGTGGGCTCACTGGCAACCCACTCGGGTCCCCTCCTGTCTCTCAAGAGTTATTCCTATCCCCCAATAAATCTTCCTACTGTAAACCTCTGTTTCTTAAAATTCATTCTTTGACTTCAGGGAATATGAGCTCAGTGTATCAGCTATCTAGCAAGTTAGGAGTTACACTTATTTCCTTCATATCATTTGGCACCACTATGTGAGCAAGTGCAGGAAAACACCCTACTTTTTGTATCCTGAGGCCTCACAGTTCCCCAGAAAAGTGGGCACCAAGTTCTATCTTGGGAGGGGGAACCTGGGACAAGGGGTCTCACTATATGTTCCAGGCTGGCCTCCAACTCACATTGATCCTCCCTCCTCCCAAGTGCTGGGAATACAGCTAGATTCCCTGTAAAGGGAATCTGTAGAGGCAAAGGCACTGAGAGGTTCAAATCTGAGTAGTTAAGCAGAGGACCCTGATGCTACCTTGCTGCTTGGAAAATATCAGCTGATCTTGACTCGCTCTGCATTTAGGACCTCTGCATTTGATAGAGGGAAGGCTCCATGGTGGAGGGCGAGCAACTCGCAGGTGGGCACCTACTCTGCTTGCTGTCTTATATGCAGAAATGAAAACAAACAGAAGAGGGCTGGGGTGTGGCTCAACAGTAGAACACTTCCCTAGCGAGGTCCTCCAGTACCAAAAACCAAAATAAGCAATGCATTAGTTCATTTCATCCTGACCACATGCCATCAGGGAGCTTCCTCACAGTTTCCATTTCACAGAGGAGTAAACTAAGGCACAGACAGGGCAGAAGTTGTTTGCTAAAGGTCACAAATTTAGTAAGTGACAGACATGGAATTTGAACCACTCAGTCTAACTCCATGCTCCAGGCACCCTAGGGTCCCCCTTTAGGAAAAGACTCCCACTCTGCAGGCATATACCATCATGCCTGGCTGACATTCATTTTTTTTTTTTTAATTTTATTTATTTTTATGTGTGTATGTGTATGTGTGTGTGGCCAGCTCAGCCCACCAGGGGGCGGGGCTGGCTGGCATGTGGTGCTGGGGGATTGAACCGCAGTCCCTGTGCTTTGCTGAGCTTGTTCTATTTTATTTATTTATTTATTTATTTATTTGTGTGGGTGTGTGGCCAGCTCAGCCCACCAGGGGGCGGGGCTGGCTGGCATGTGGTGCTGGGGGATTGAACCGCTGTGCTTTGTTAAACTTGTTCTAAGTAGATGCTTTAGACCACTGAGCCATCTCACCAGCCCCTGAGCTTGTTCTAAGTAGGTGCTTTAAACCACTGAGCCATCTCACCAGCCCCTGACATTCATTTTGTAAGCTGAATTTTTATTTTGTTTTTTGAAACAGGGTCTAGGTAATTCAAGCTGGCTTGAACTCACTGTGGAGCTCAGGCTGGCCTTGAATTTATGGTGATCCTTTTGCCTCAGGAATTTGAATTTGAATTTGTGGTGACCCTCCTCCAGTGCTAGGATTATAAGTGTGTGTTATCACACCCAGCTACACTGAATTTTTTATTGATTTATTTATTTTGACACAGGATCTCACTATGTGGTTCTGGCTACCTTTGAACTATGTAGCCCAGGCTGGCATCCAACCTGCAGTGATCCTCCTGCTTCAGCCTCCTGAGATTATAGGTGTGGAACACCATGCCCAGCTAAATTGAATTATTATTGGCTTTTTTTTTGTATTTTTGGGGAAGTGTCTACAGGGTGTTCAGGGTCTACTAGATGGACTGGTAGTAATCTGTTTACAGCCTCCTACCATCTGGGATTACAGGTGTACACCATCATGCTCAGTCTCTAAATTGAATTTTTAAAGTCATTTCAGTTTTTGTTGTTGTTGTTGTTTTTGTTTTTTTTTTTTTTTGGTGGAACTGGGATTGAACTCAGACCCTTATGCTTGCCAGGCAAGCACTTATTCTACTGAGCCATCTCCCCGGCCCTCTAAATTGAATTTTTTTTAAAGTATTTTTTTTACTGGAAAAAAACTAGGGGATTTTCTGTGACTCCCTGGGGGACAGGAATGGGCAGGGTACAGCCATCCTGTCTCCTCTAAGGGAAGAAAAAGGGTGTGGGTCTTCTCTTGTGTGAGCCTGGGGGATACCCGCCTGCCACTCATCCCACCCTCCCACAGCGTCTGGTATGGGACTTGGGTAGAGAGTGAGAGCACTGTGGCCAGTTGTGCCCCAGGTCCTAGCAAAGCATCTATAGTTTTCAATTCTTTCCCACCTGACTTTTGAGTAGGGGGTGCAGCTCAACACATCCTTCACAGAATCTTTTAGAGACAGAGAGCCAAACCACAACCCAAAGCCCACTTATTTACTGCAAGGTGTTGATCCTGCAATTAAGCATGAATACTGAGATTTTTAGTTTAAAAAGTGGTACCTTTTGTCTTTCATCTTTTTTTTTTTTTTTTTTTGTGGAACTGGGGATTAAACTCAGGCCCTTGCACTTGCCAGGCAAGTGCTTATTCTACTGAGCCATCTCCCTGGCCCCAGTATCTTTTGTCTTGAAAGAAAAGCAGCAGGGCTTGGTGGTGAACGCCACTGGAGGTTGAGGTAGGAGGATTGTGACAAATTTAAGGCCAGCATGGACACATAGAGACCCTGTTTCAAAAACAAACAAAAAACTACACTTCAAAGCAGTGTCTTTGCCATCAGCTAGGGCAGGCTGGACTCTGCCTCTGTCATACGCAGGCCACATACTCTGCCTGTCCTAGGGGACTGATGGTTCATGGCATTTGCGCTAGGATCCCCCTTTGAGCTGTGGTCTTGATTAAAGCCATTTCAGCCTCACTAGGTTGGCAGAGAACACCTCTCACTCTGCTCAAAGCTGAGGAAACAGAAAACAAACTGTGTGGTGGTGCACACCTATAGTCCCACGCTCTAGGAAAGTGAGGCAAGAAGACAGCAAGTTCAAGCCCAACATGGGCAACTTAGTGATTTAACAAAACTCTCTAAGAAGGGCTGGAGGGCCAAATAACTCAGCAGATTAAAGCGCCTGCTTAGGCACTGCAGTAGCTGGGGTTCGATCCTAGCTTGCCATCCAGGATTGCCATCCCCACTTGCCATGCGGGCCC